GGGACTAGATCAACTTGGGTCTCGTGGTAAATAGAGTACCTCCTGAATCCTCAGAGACACCCACTTCCTAATCCCTAGAACCTGTTACATGCGTGGCAAAGTGGAATTAAGGTTGCAGATAGAATTAATATCACCTTCAACTGATCTGGAGATGAGATGATGAGATTATCCTGGGTTATCCAAGTGGGCTCATTGTAATCACAAGGGTCCTTAGATGTGGAAGAGGCTGGAGACGAGAGAATGAGGAAAGAGAGAGAGAGAGAGAGAGAGAGACAGGACTTGGCCTAATGTTGATGCCTTTGAAGATGTAGGGGAAAGGGGCCATGAACCGAGGAAAGCAGGTTGGACTCTAGAAGCTAGAGAATATGAGGAAAAGGATTCTCTACAAAGAATCCAGCCCTGCCGCCATCTTGATTTCAGCTCATTGAGACCCATTTTGGATTTTTGACCTCAAAACTACAATTGTATTGTTTCCTGCTGCTTAGTTTGCAGTAATTTGTTATAACAACAATAGAAATTTAACACAAGCCCTGTAGTTTATAGTAAGGACTTTCACTGAGTGAGGCAGGAAGCCATCGGAAGGATTGGGTTGGAGGAGTGATCTGATTTGATCTAATAGGATCGCTCTGGATGTTGTGTTGCGAATAGACTGTTGAAGGATTCCTTCCTTCATCTAGCTTTTGGCTTGCCTTTTCCCTATTTATTGAGAGATCATAAATTCACTTAAGATTTAAAAGAATATGATCTCACAAACTTTGTAAGTCAAGATCTCTCTAATCTGTTTTGTTGCCAGAAATGAAAGTCTGAATTGCATTTTAAATTAAACTTCTATGGAAAACTCACCAGAAAAAATTGAATACCCCAATATATAAAATCAAGTGACCAGCGTTCCAAGCAAATTAGAGAATACTCGTGAAGAGACTTTGAAGATTCTAAAAAGTATATTCCTCACAAGAAAAAGAATACAAAAACATTTTCATCGTTTACTTTCATCTAAATCCTATCTAGCAAGATCTACCAGAGGAGTGAGCAGAAACAGATACAAGAGTAAGCAGTCAATATGTCTAGGTTGTAAACTGATCCAAAATGTGAGAAGTATGTTTTAAAATATTAAGTGATCCATTTATGTCTTAACACACAGTAAACACTTATTGGCTTGTTAATTACTCTAGCGATTCCACTACTATCTTCTCCATTCCTTTATTGTTATTTCAGAGCCATTATCGCCTCTTCACTAAGGGGAATGGGGAAAAATTCCTCTAATGTTGCACTTCTAAAAAGACCAAGCTCTGCTTCAGACTATAGATGGTTCTAAGCAGCCAGGTTAAAATATAGAACGAGTTACTGGCTCAAACAAGGAATGAAAGGTATTTTCTAACTTTAAGGAAGAGGTTCTTATAAAACATTTTATAGACAAATGTTCTCAAAAACTTAAATACAATAAACCTTTAATTATATACATCATGGAGACGGATAGGTGGCATTAATAACTTAAAATAGTTAATAGATAATATAGTGTTACAAAAATAATATATTTAGCTTTGAAAATCTTTGTAATTTCCTTTATCATTTTTCTCTCTCAATTATTTTTTTCTTAAACTAATAATTAAATTTTCCATTCTTGAATGTAGAGTAACTCACTGTGGAAAGAGATGATCCAGGGTTTTGATGGATGGGGGAGAGAAGCTGGTCTAGGATTACAATTTGAATTTGAATAATCCACATTTAAATATTTAGAAGTGGACTGTATTATCATGTCATCAATGTTTCTGAGCCAAGATTACCATATTTTGCCGTGTATAATAACACATTTTTGCCCAAATTTTTGAGGGAAAAATAAGGATACATATTATATATGGGTGGTACTAATTCTGTATCTGTATAAATGTTTTTAATTCTTTTATTTATGCTTATGTATTAAAAGTGTAACTCTAGAAAGCAATAATGACATTTGTATGCAAAATAATTCCCTGGAATACAATAATTGGTTTTGTTTCTAAATATAAATAAATAAATAATTGAATTAAAAAGTTAAAAAAACTAAAATGAAAGATTTTTTTCCTGAAGGTTTTGGCCAAAACCATGGATTTACATTATACACAGCAAAATACAGTATTATACTACAGCAGATTCTTTTATCCCAGAGTTCCTTGTCCTGGCCATTCCCATCTTCATTTTTTTCTTGGTCCTGGCCATTCCCATCTCCATTTCTTTCTTGGTCATTTCTTTCTTGGTCAGATAGACCTGGAGGTGTGTATGTGGGAGGGGGGCAATGTTATCTGAATTTTAAGCTACCCATGTGGGGGTGGGGTGGAGGTGGGATAAAAGTTGGGGAGGCAACAGCAGTGTTCCACACAGGTGGCTTTAAGACACTATAGTCTATATAAATTTCTATAGATATTGGTCTATGAAAAGATAAAAGATGTGATGTTGTAGAACAACTATAGGGTAGATGTGAGAAGACCTTTGTTCCAGTTCTGCCTATTGGTATTTGCAGTCCTGAAGGTATCCCTTGATTTCTTTGAGACTCAGTAGCTTACTATGTGAAGGCTGGGGATGGTGATAATACCTGTTTTACCTACCCTCTGGGGTTGCTGTAAAGATCAATATATGAGAAAGTACTTTGAAATCTATAAAGTATTATAGAAATAAAAATGTCTGTTGCTTTAGCACTCAGAATACTTAAGAGATTTAAAGAAATCCTACTGTGGTCATAAGGCAGATTAGGATAAAAGAGTTCATGAAATTCATCATTACTAATAAAAATGTACTAAGAATACATGCCAGTGGGTATTATCTCTGTGAATTAAAAAGCACTTTTTTTCGCTTTGTGTCCTGTGACGGTGTTCTTTTGGAAGCCTCTGTGTACAGCACTTGGAGTTTCCAGTCCTCCCGATCTGCTTCCTTCAAGTCCACTGTCTACCATCTGCCTTGTGCTTCTGGGCAGCCAGATTGCCTCCTGAAATCTGATGGTCCCCACTCCCCCTTCAGAAACTACACTTCTTTTTCTAATAAAAGGGCTGCTCCATTGAACTGTGAGCACTCTGTCCTTTCAATAACTCCCTGGCTCCTGTTGGGTAAGCAGAAGTATGCCATGGTGACAAAGAGGCAGGAGAGCTCTTTTTTTTTTTTTCCTGATTCGTGACAGTGGAGATATGTTCCATGTTCAATTAAAAGTTATTTAATATGAACCTATGATCCAATGTTACCCCAATACATTTAATTTAAAAAGTTATTTAAGAGTGAGGATTATATATTACACTTTATGTTTGACCTTCAACTAGTAGGTCATGTTGATACTCAGTAGATACATATTTGCTGAATTGATGTGCTAAGAAGTGTATCAGGTAATTTGCTTTACTAGGGTTTTTCAGCCTGGATTATTAGGTTATTTATTTAATTATATACTAAATATTCTGTATTTAAATCTGGGATTGTAATGAAGCAAAGTCCTGCTCCAAGTAGCACCTGCCAATTGACAACTTCCTTGCTTTTCTCTTTATATTACGTTTTTATGTTCTGCTTGTTCCTGGGTTAGAATGCATGAATACGTGCCAGACAAGGTAAGGAATTAGGTTGGATGGAGAAAAAAAAAATCTAGTCCTTTCCTTGGAGTTTAAATGAATGAGAATAAGCCCAGTGTTGGAATCATAATTGAAATTTTAAACTTCTGTTATTACTATCAAAGACACTATACTGTTATATTATTCTTTTCTTGCTATTAGAGATCTGGTAAGGGATTCTAGCAAATCAGAAGTAGGGGGCAAAGTTGAGGCATCTCTAATTCATAATCAAAGTATACTTTTCAGGGTATCCTTGTTAAAAGTGACTGGCATTTATGAATGTTATCCCTTCTTTAAATTTGAAATTATAACAGCACTGTTATTTTCATTTCTACATGTATCTTCTAATCTCTGTCCAAGTGTATAAATGTTTTACATATTTGCCTTTTTTCTGTGCATACTATATTCTCTCCTGAATTGCCCTGGGAGGCTCAGAATTTCTGAATGGCTCCAAGAATCCTGATCTATGCCACTGCAGAAATTGATTAGAATGGCCTGCCATCCCCTGGGCAGGTATGCCTTCACATTTAGAAGGCTAGGGTTAAGTGCTGAAGCAGAAAATGACTGGGGCCTGCAAGTTAACTGGTGACCTCAAGGGAAAAGGAATGAAGTTAGGTTTTATAAGGGAAGCTGTAGGTAGGGAAGATGTAGGTAGGGAAGATGTTTTGCCAGGGTCAGGTTCTTTCAGATTATTTCGGTTACAGAAGAGAGGATTGAGAGAAAGTGAAATGTCCAAATGGAAATCATCTTAGAACTGCAATAGAAAAGAATCTCGCAGATTCGGAGGAAGGGGGTGGAAAAGTCCCTCTCCGAGCTCTCTGGGGATCAGGACTCACACTACCAGTCTCAGGAGCAATTCAGGACAGGCGAGGAACACAAGGGCCTCTGGGTCCACTGCGCGCTTGCAGGGGAGTGCGGAAGAGTGGTCTGGCTCGCACACAGGTGGCAGGAGCCGCGCCAGCTGCGCACCGCTCTAGCTCTGCGGGTGGGCCGCCAGGCGTCGCGCGGGAGTCGCGGTTGCCCGGGAGACCGAGCGGAGCCAGTGGGCGGTGCGGAGCTGAGCGGAGCTGGGCTGCTGCGGGTGTAGCTGGGCGAGAGTTGGGAGGGGGTGTGGCTCCCTGGGCTGCGCGGGAGGCCGGCGGGTCTTGGGGCAGAGCGAGGTGGCCGTGAGGCTGTGGAGCGAGGCCGGCGGGCACGGCGAGTACGCGACGCGCCGGGTCGCAACTCAGCCTTCTCCACTGATCGAGGCGGTGCGGGAGCTGCACTTGCCTCGTCTTCCCGACCGACGGTTTCAGCTCCACCGGAGTGACTGCGGCTGGACGTCGAGTAGGGGAGGACCCAGCTTCCGCGAGAGCGCCGAGAGTCCGGCCCGCGCCTCCGCTGCGGCGAAGAGGAGCCAGGCGGGCGCCGGGCGCTCTCCCTGCGGCCCCGGCATGACTTCTCTGGGGTTTCCTCTGGCGCCCTTGCTGCTCCTCTCTCTGCACTGTGAGTAGCCCAAGCCCTCCGCTCCCGGCGGTGCCAGGCTGGGCTGGCGGGACCGGCAGAAGCTGTTTGGGGATCGCCTGTGCCAGGTCTTTGAAGCCCAACTTTCTCAGGGCCATGCATAGTCGTTGTTCTTGGCCTAGGCTCACGCGCCCACCTGCCGCGGGTGCCCTCCTGCCGGCGCCCCTCTTTCCCGCCTCCCGCACAGCCCAGGTGTTCCCTAATCAGAGAGATAACTGCACCTGCTTCTTGGTTACCGCGATCCTGGACCTGACTCTGACCCCGCTGTATTCTTTTTCAGTTAATGAACTCCCGTACTTACTGGGTCCAGTGAGAAACAGTATTCAGAATCAGTTTCTGTTACTGGGCGCCTCCCAGAAAACTAGGGATGCCTTTAAAATTAGAAAACTTCAAATAGTGCTTTTACCACAACCTTTAACAAACATGCAGGTGTAACTGAAATTGTGGTCTCGATTTTAAAAATAATTATACATTGTGCTATATATAATACATTTGAAAACAAGAATTTATTTTATTTTATTTATGCTCTAGCCTCTTCCCCAAAGGATCTAAATTGGCTTGCAAAAATACCTAGAATATAAAAAAATAAAAAAAATATATAACAACATTAGAAGAAAAGGAATAAACATATCTTTATTTTTCTTGTTAACCGTCTTTAAATATGTTTAAATTTAATTTTATACTCTCCATTTAGTCTTTCTTATATTTTATTTTCTATAGTTTCTATCAATAGCCATCGTATGAGAAACAAAACTCTGTTTTTTATTTTATACAGTGCCCTTTTCTGAATGCACTGTCCTGTGGAATCAAGTCTTCTGTTCCATTTAATTGATTGTTGAGATTTACTGAGATTTATTTTGAAGGGTTTTATTTTAAAAGCAGATTCAATGATTGATGGAAGATTGTGGTTAACTCTATTTATTTTTTTCTGGAGATGTCAGTATGTTTCCCATAGTTTTATGGTCTTATCTGAATTGATAATGTACCTGTAGATCTTGAAGTAACCTAATATTTGTTAGCTGACTTAAGTTGTACGAATTCATTTAATAAAAGAGAAAGGAACACAAACTTTGTCTATCATTTCCATAGAAGCCAGTGAAAGAAATAATAAAAATTAGAGGTAACTTTTGTGGAGCTCAATAGATATATTTTTTGTAATGATGTGTAGATAACGATTAAGTGACATTAGCATGTGCTTCCAAGTGAGTTTTGTCTGGTTTCCAGTTTGAGAGAGCTAACGTTTTTCTCTGTCCTACTTTTTTCAAGTGTGAAATAATATTGAGTAAATGGTCTTTTTAATACAACCCCTTGGACATAACTGAAACTATTTTAAATATCACTATAAGAACAGCTGAGATTTTTGGTAAAAAAGATCTGTTAACCTTTGTATATAACAATCAATGACCCTCTCTTTTTTGTAAACAGCGTTTGTGTATAGTTTGTTGAATTATTAGGCAGTACTTTTAAAGAGTTGATGTAATTCTCAGAATCAGGCTTACAAGGTCATCTGCTTTGTTTCTTCTCCTTCAGTAGAATTATTCCTAAGTCATCTTAGAATGTTTTAAAGACTTCCAAGGACATTTTAGCCTTCATGATAACCTATTCTGTAATGGCCCTTTTCACCCTCAAAAATGAAAAAATATGTTCAGATGTTCTGTGAATTTTTACTAAGCTCCTCTGGTGGGGAGGAATGGTGGTGGGAAATAAAGATGTGTGAGTTTGTCCACAGCCCTTAAGGAGTTGGCGGTTTTGAAACAGGCTGCAAACATGCACAAATGATTTATGATAGAGGAAGATATGAAGAGTGCCATTTATTAATGATGATATTAAGGAAGACTTCGTGGAAAAGTTTACTTTTGGTCTGGACTTTAAATGAGTGGGATTTGAATTGACGGAGTCGGCAGCGATTGGGCTTTCCTAAGCCAAAGGAGCAACCTGGATGAAGGATATGAAATGGCAAGTGCAGGGCCATGTTCTGGAAAGGCCAAGCCCTTCCAGTTGCTAGAATAGGAGGTTGTGCAAAGGAGAGAAGGCTAGAAATGTAGTAAAAGGAGAGTAGAGGGCCTTGTATGCTCAGTTTGGTATCTATTCAGCAGGTCATGGAATGGCCACTGACATTCAGTTTCCTTAAGATGGGGGAAGGAAAGAAGGTAAACATCTCCTGAGTGTGTAGCATAATAGTCTCCCTGAAAATACCATGTCCTGGTTGCATTAAGTTCTTGAACCAGTCAATGGTAAAGCTGGTTTCAGAGAATTAGGACCCATCCCTAAGACTTCCAGTGTGGAGTGATGGGGAGGAGTGGATATCTGAACAAAGTTATTTCCATCATGAGAAGGAAAAGAGAAATGGACACTAGGTAGATAGCCATTTGTAGCAGTGACCACCGCAATGGCATAATGCACCAAATGTAGAAATAGATAGTGTCTTAAGTTTTTGAAAGAAAATGAATGTCAAGGCATTTCTGTTTTTATTTTTGTTTAAATCTCTCTGGAGTAAACTTCAAAGGGAATTTGAATAGAAAAGTTGATTACTATCATATAGTTCTACCAATGGGTTAGATAGTCAAACCTCAGTTTTCTGCCGTCTTGGTTCTCAACTCAATTCTCGACCAAGTTTTCATAGAAAAAAAATGTCTTGGTTGTCTAACAAAACTTTGGGTCTCATTTTCTATGGGACAACCCTTTCATGCTGATACCTGTATGATCAGTCATGCATCTCTCAGGCAACAAATTGCTTTGGTTTTTGGTTTTTGAACAAATTGCTTATTGAACAGTTTTCCAGAACGAATTAAGTTTGAGAACCAAGGTTCTCTAAAGCAGTGGACCCCAAAGTTTTTGGCACTAGGGACCTGTTTCGTGGAAGGCAATTTTTTCCACAGACCAAGGGTTGGGGGATGGTTTCAGGATGATTCAAACTCACCTCCTGCTGGATGGCCCGGTTCCTAAAAGGCCCGACCGGTACTAGTCTGCAGCCCGGAGGCTGGGGACTCGTGCTCTAAACTCTTTCTTGTACTGCTTGTGATTCCTTGAAATAGTGAATAACTTTCCAGAATATGAGAAAAGTATAAAAGAAAGAAAAGACCATATAAAATCAAGTGAAAATAAATTATGAGCCTAAATGTCAGCGTTTTGAAAAATTTATTGTAGCCCTGTGGCTCTGTGTCTCAATTGGTTGGAGCATGATCCCAGACACCAAAATGTTATGTGTTCAATCCCCGGTCAGGGCACAAGCCTAGGTTGCCAATTGGATCCCCAGTTGGGGGGTGTGTATGGGAGGCAACCAACTGATGTTTCTGTCTCTTCATTTTCTTAGCTCTAATTTTAGTTATGTAACTGTTTTGGAAGAACTCACGTTTTAGTAAAAATTCTGTAGTTTGACCCACATGAAAGGTGACAGCCTCTGGATGAAAATTTTAGATAAGTTAAGCTTAATACACTGTATATTCAACATGAACTATTCAGGAAGCACTTTAAATATTAAATCACCAAGTGCTTCTAAAATGTTATGCTTAGAGCTGTTGTGGGACCCAAGGTAATGATGCAATGGGTAAGGTTTTTTACCCCCCAGTAACAGTATGTGGCACATTTTCAAATGTGTTTTCACACCTTGATAGTGGAAGCATTTATAATGAAAAGTCTCATTTGAATCTTCATACTTAAGCCATGTGATTTAGTGTCAAACAAGGTGACGTGATGGCCCATAAGATTCTTTAGTTGCAGTGAATTATGCAAAACAAGGGACTGGAAAGCCTAGCTGCGTTTGGGAGAAAGTTGGAAACTGTGGTGTTCCCCCTTAAATTCTGATCTATAGTTTATATAGAATAGGGATTCTTAACTTATTTGTATATATATTAATGATGCCAATTTCTATATTTTAGGAGACTGAGGTAAGATTGCTGGATTTCTGGTAGTCCAGTCACTTCAGATCCCCTTCTTCGGTTGATGAGGGCTACTTGGCACTCACACTTCTCGCCCTTGCATTTTGAGGGCAGCTCTCAGACCCTCAAGATCCTCCTTTGAGGTCTCTGAAATCCTCCTTTGATTGTACTTGGAGAATACGTGGTTTTAGAGAGGTTGTTAGTTCTTGGGTAGTATTCAAAATACCATCTGATTTGAGCTGGATTTGGTCTTAGAAGTAGAAAGTTAATTAGTTTACTTATGAGTTAAGCTGATCTTACTAAACTGTGGAAGGATTTCTTCCTTTCTATTAAAGTTTGGGTACCGGTAGTTGATTCCCTCTGTACCTGGTTTCCTACCACCTAAGAAAGAGACTATAGTTAGCATTTGTGATGGTTTTAAAATTGTAGAAATGTGAAGACAGTCACAGAGAAAATCTATTTCCTAATTTCACAAATGATAGACTCAGCCATTAATTTGATATCAGTTTATCTTTACTGTTATCAGATACTACAAAATATATTCAATATGGCATGGCTCTGCCTCACTCATGTACTATAGGAATATCACAGTTTAATAAATGTCCCTAAAATTTCTGTTTATAGGATTAACAATACAAATTTGCCAATGTGAACAAAAATCCTATTCAATAAAAATCCTTAGAGGAAGTATACTTCCTGGTTTCTCTTCATTTAGCATTTTGATCCTGAGAGAAGTAACAAAATGACAGGGTTAGAGGCACACTTTTATTTAGGAAAGCATGAGGCTAAAGAAGTTGAGATGCCTGTACCACATGTAGTTCTTTGGGAGAATCTTCAGAGAATTAGGTTAACATCAGTGGCTATGAAATAGAGTGGGTCAGGATTTAGGGTTGAGATAGATGTTTAAAGTAAAATAGCTTTGGAAATTCAATGCCATTTTTTCCATCAAGGGTCACAGCTATGTAATAACACAATTTGTCATTGTGAATGTAACTCTAATGTGATGAGGCTGCCTCCAGGCCAGCCTTAAAAGACTCATTAATCTAACATTTCTAAAAATTGAAAATAAATTTAGATTTTGTTGAAGCCTGTTGAAGATTACAC